CACACACACACACATATATATATATATATATAAACTAATCATTTCTGAAATTCACGACAAGTCCGTATTTGTATTAAAAATATCTATACAGTACATACACATTTACATAGATAAATTTATGCACATATATCTAGCGTTAATATACCCACAAACTCATGTTTTCATGTCCTGAATTGCATATATCCCAATGAAATTTTACTCGAGTCTGTCATCGTGTATTTAAGTACCATGTTATACCAGTTTGTATCAGCTATCAGCTTGAATACTTGTATGCTTAATTCAGCTTGAATTTTCGTATCTGTATGCATTGCCTACAACTTTACTTTTTGTAGGAGAACAGGTTTGTAGAGGCATGGCGTGGATTACAAGTAGTGCCTCGTAAACCACATGTTGCCATGTTGGCATTTAGCAAATACAGAGAGTCTTGTAACCAGCACGTTGGTAATAACGGATAATATTGTAAATAATAGGTATATGCAGATATGACGAGTATGAACCAACCATCGTGACGCACATCCTAATTCCTGTGGGTTTACGCATTATTAGCAGTTTAGCACCATCGGCCCAGTCAAGTTGTTGGAGATCTGCCCGTGTTGAATTATATGAATCCATGGAACTTCAAAAATAAAATAAAAAAGCCAATTTTAAATTATCATATCAAATTATCAATAGCCTCAAAAAATAAAAATAAATAATATATTCAATTTTTTTTCGAAGCTCGACATACCCTCAGGTGAGTGGTATAGAGTGAAGACTACAGAGGGAATCAGTACAGTTGTAGGCAAGCACTTCATAAGTAAGGGAAGGGCCGTTTGTCTATCTACAGATACTAGGCACTTCGTGCCGTGAGTTTTTAAGCTGACGTATGCTAATCGGATTGCCAACGTGATATAGTTACGCCGGATAAGTGCACCCGAAGGACAGCGATAGTAGTATAATCAGGCTGATTGGTTACTGTTGAAAGCACTTGCAGTGTGTTCAGTATGCCACTGGTGTTTACAACGAAACTTATCTACACATTATAAGTACACACAAGTTTTACGCTGACGTTTATAAGGTGTTCTACTTATTAATGTACATCGAGACAGCCAGCGGTGACAGCCTAGCACTCCCTTTCCCAACGCGACGAGGAGGGCACAAAGGGCTTCGAAATCAACCATAGTATACAGAAAGCATGACCCTTATGCTCTCGAATAGTATCAGAAGAGACATAGTTAGCAAATCCGAGATGCCCGTGGAGGTGGTGACACAGTTCGCACTGGACGGAACGGTAGCTTCTGACAATATTGAGCGCACGCCGATAGATGGAGACGCTACTCAAAATGAGATGCATATAGATCATAGTCGGGCAATAACCGAGAAACACAGTTTACAAACACACCCAAGAGAACCAGCAGGGCAAGAGAGTACAGACGTGAGAGACACTGTTGGTGTACAGACCGATACGCAAACGCAGCCACAAATAGAAATTGAACGAACTATCTCAGACAAGAGGGACAATGCTGACACACACAGCCCAATCGGCACTTCACCGCCAACAAAACAACAAGAACAGCAGTGCGAAGGAGCTTCTCCCATATTGCAACCCACAGCGTCACAGGCTGAAACAGATGGAGATACACTGGACACTGGTTGTAGCTCTGTGGAAACTGTGCTATCTGTATGCGTAGACGTGAATTGGAGCACGGCGTTAGTCACAAACACGAACATGGGTGAGGCTAACACACACGAGATGAGCGATACACCGCATGCCACACAAGAAGTTGGATCGGTCCCCGAAATATCCGTGAACGTGAATACCGCTGAGCAGAAAACTAGTGCAGAGACTGCGGTTGAACAGACGAATATAGATACGACGCTCACGAACAACGACAACAAGGATGAAGCAGAAGCTGTAGTCAAGGAAACTGACAATAACACAGTGGTGCCTCTCATGAATATTAATGAAACTACGCACGATACCACTTCTGTACCCGCAATTGAAACTACAAGTACCCAACAGTCATCGCTAGATTCTGCACTGAACACTGGTTTAGTAGAAAGCAATGCCGATGAGCCGATAGTTGACGATGTTAAACACACTACTGCAGGTGAGGGTGCAAGTGATAGTGTCGAGGCTACTAAAGATAGTAAGAAAGAAGTTGAAGCTGAATTACACACGGACGAGACAGGCGATAAATCTATCAGGCAACGAGATGACTCGAAGCCGGTAGACACATTGAATGCGAAGGGTCTTAGACCTAATAGTGAGGAAGCTCGAAATGATGACGAAGCGGGCGAGTCTCTAGGGAATACATCGAGTATGTCAGTCATGACTACTGTCAGCACGGACGAAGCCAATACATTCAAAGTAAACAAGACGGCGAAGCTGGGACCCAGTATGTAAATGTTGGGATACATACTTTATAGCTCGCATATTTTGGCTTCCGCTATTTACATTTGAAACAAATAGTGAATCGTATGTAA